AAAACTGTTAACAGGAAAAATAATAAACATATTATATAAAAGTATAAATGTAATAAGAATTATTAATAGTAATAAAAGACAAAATTGAAATTCCAAAGCCCTGTTAACGAACTGTTATTGTAATCAATTTGTAGAAAATTTACCATGGCTTCAGTCCCAAATCATCCCCAAATAATACCTGCACTAGATTATTAGAGTAACAATGGTTGAAATATTAAAGGGGAAACTATGGTTTTTCAAGAAAAAAATGCATTTGCGCTCACTTAAAGTACAAAATGTACAGTCCATACAGATAACAGTTGCTATATTCACAATGATATAACTATATATATTATGGGCAAAGTTTTCCATTAGTGCTGATGTAATAGTTTATATAATACTGCTAAATAAGCTAATTGCTCACTCATAGCTTTTTGAATCCAATCCAGGAATTTAAGATAAAAGTAATTGTGTGTTAATGAGACCTTATTAATATAAAATTGCTTAGATGTAAAACAATTTATAGCTTTTGCCCAAGAGAAGCCATTTTATTTTTGCATATTCTAACTCACATTTAAACATATTCAAGCATAAAACTATGTTGAAATTGGGTTCAGAGGTATGATGGAGATTCTAAATCCATTACAGTTCTCTAAATTTATGATGAACTTTGCACAAGTGTCTATATTGTGATAATAATTGTGTGGGATTCCTGTTTTCAGATGATGCCAAAATGAATATTTATATATCTTGTCTCTTCATTTTCCAAATATTTTTGAAATAATTGTGAAAAAATTTTTTTAGCTAATTTTACTCCAAAAAGCCTCTAAATGTAAGAAACTACAAAGAGCTATACAAGAAAATATTATAATGGTCTTCAGTAAAGGAGAAAGTAACATTTGGGGCACAACTATCTATGATGAAGATATAACAATCATGAAATTGAACAATTTTTTAAATAATTTGTATTAATGAATGGTTACATAATTCCACACCTGGTAATCCTAAAAATAAAACTGAATATACATTACTTTACATAGTCCTGCAATTGAAACAACATACTGTATAGTAAGACTCTGACATATATTCCTTTTAACATAACATGACATAAACCATACTTTGGATGAGCAGAGAAAACAGAATAATTTTTAAAAAAAGTTTTTTTGTTTCATTTGTTCAAAAGTTATTTTTAAAAAGGCAAAATACATTTTAACATAAAGATTGGCAATAGTTGCACCTCTACATAGCTCTGAAACGGCTCGTAAGGGTAGTGTGTGTAATAATCAACTGATCTCTTTTCCTACCAACAGCTTGTGGGAGATAAAGGTCAAATTGCCTTAATATGCATCATCCCAGGTTGTATGCCTTTTTATTACTATATGTAAAATAGATTATTTTTTCTTGAGCCCTGATACATCACAATTGAAAAACAGCCTCGTGAAAAGCAATCATTTACAAAATATCCGATTTTATCAAATGTAAATTACTTTCAATACATTCTAGAAGTATAGAATAGTCCAACCCAAATCAATTCCTACTATATATACAAATACAACAGACTTGTTCTGACCTAGGCTTCCCCAAAAAGCACTAAGCAGACGCTTTGTCCCGGCAAAACTCCTTTATTAAATGAAGGTGAATTTCTTGCATTCACATTCAGCCAAAGACCTGGCAAACAGTCTTTCAAGGGTGTAATTAGGAGCAGAGACCTTACCTATCTTGGAGAGCTGCCAAGTAAATATTTTCTAACTATTGCAGTTCTGACAAGGAAGGACTTGGCAGTGTCTGAGATGCACAGACAGATCTTCACACTGTTGCAATGAACGAATTGTTTCCTGCAAAAGCCCACTCCCCTTTTAATCCCTATGGGAGGGGCCTTTCACCATCCACCTGTGGCTTTACTCCCATGTTGACCCTTAATTCGTAATTGCTCTTTTCTTTTGGCAGCACAGGGTGGAACCGGCTCCAGCTGCTCCCCACCTCACTGCTGTCCTACTCCAAAGGCAGCTAATAACTGCCAGACTGCCCTGGCCCCATCTCTGCCTCTGATGCAGAGCCCTTGTCCGAGCCTTCCTCAGCCTCCAGGTCTGGCCCATGTTCCTCCCCAACCTCCTCACTGTCTGACTCTGTTGCCAGTTCCACTGGCTGCTGGTGGACCACAAGAAGACTATCCTACATTTAAATATGTAGAAATCACATTTTGCTGATAAGCCACTGTATCTTTTTACTATTCATTTATTATTTTCATGAGAATGAGCAATGATGAAATTAAATGTTCCAGAATTCTTCAAACTTCAAATAGCATTTTGCATTTTGCCTGTTTCTATTATTAAGTATACACACTGAAATAATCTACAAACTCCCAGCCCGGGGCTGGATGGGTTACATGCTGGCCATGCCTATGTCCAGTTTAGCGAAGGGGGAAAAAGTCCCAATATGTCCTATGATGTCGCTGTGACGATGTGAGTTTGACACCCCTGTAGTAGGACAACAGAATGACAGAACTGTTCAAACCTAACTATTATTTAAACAATGTAGTCAAATTCTTGAGTGTTGTACTTCAGAGTAATGTATGCCAAACCATATGTTCATAATGCATTTCCAAATCCTTTGATTTTTTTTTCTGAAAGCATGTGAACACATACAAAGACCTCCTTTGTTATTAAAATGGTGACATCTTTTTAAAAACATTAATGTGCAAACATAATTTAAAAACTCACAAATTTGACTAGACTGATTTCAGTAAGCCAGCTTTAAATATGATAGTCAGATTTAATCCAAAGTAATTTTAAGAGGAAGCTGCCTTCTTATTGAACATTTGATTCTTATTATTATCTCTATTTTAAAAAGCAAGAAGACAGGTTATTGTAACAATTCAGTAGTCTTGTGCAGTGGAAGTTGTATGAATAAGATCAAACCCCATGAAGGAATTATACCCATGAAGGAATTATAAAAATAGTAAAGGCAGAAAGTCTGAAATACAAAATTATGCAGTGACTTAACCAGCATTTGGCAGAAAATATTAACCAATAAAGGAAATTGCAGTATTTTTTCAAAAACTGTTTTTCATGGTGCAGACAGAAATTTTATAGAAGAAATCTGACATACAATCAAATATAAAGTTTATTGAACACATAATTAAGGCAGACATAAGGATTTATATCTAACAGTATCAAGAAACCTAAAAGACTTCAATATGTGAAGACTAATACTTCTCTCCAGCATCTAAATTTAGTAATAATAGTGTGTGCACTTTGAAAATTGTTTATTATCTAATTCAATATATCATATTATCAGATCAGGTCCACTTAATAAATATCAAAGTTATTTGTACTACTATGTTGCATTACATTTAGAAATAAAAATTCTTAAATTAAAATTAGGTAACACAGAAACACTTTACTACAATTAAAAGTAACATATTATGGTGGTTCTTGATTTATGACCAATTATTATGGTCCTGAAAAAAAATGAGTTTAAGACCATGAGTTTAAGCTCACTGCAGCACTCCTGCAATCATAGATTAAAATTCAGGGTTTTGGAAATTTCCCCCCCATCTATTCAATCTTACTTTTTGAGCATCCTGCACAACGGCAGGGCTGGGCTAAAGTAGAGGCCCATGACTTTCCGCAGTCTCAATCTGCTAACCCCCCCACCCCCAAGCTTCTACTTCAGCCCCAGAACTTTCTTATCTTCCCCAGGTTTCATAAAAATGGATGCACA